AGAGTGAAAAAGTTGGCTTAAAGCTCAACATTCAGAAAGCTAAGGTCATGGCATCCGGTCCCATCACTTCATGGCAAACAGATGGGGAGACAGTGGAAACAGTGTCAGACTTTATTTTCTTGGGCGGGCTCCAAAATCACTGCAGATGGTGACTGCAGCCATGAAATTAAAAAGATGCTTACTCCTTGGAAGGAAAGTTATGACCAACCTAGACAGCATATTAAAAAGCAGAGACATTACTTTGCCAACAAAGGTCCGTCTACTCAAGGCTATGGTTTTTCCAGTGGTCATGTATGGATGTGAGAGTTGGACTATAAAGAAAGCTGAACGCTGAAGATTTGATGTTTTTGAACTGTGGGTTGGAGAAGACTCTTGAGAGCCCCGTGGACTGCAAGGAGATCCAACCAGTCCATCCCAAAGGAAATCAGCCCTGGGTGTTCACTGGAAGGACTGATGCTGAAGCTGAAATTCCAATACTTTGGCCACCTGATGCGAAGAGTTGACTCATTTGAAAAGACCCTGATGCTGGGAAAGATTGAAGGCAGGAGGAGAAGGGGACGACAGAGGATGAGATGGCTGGATGGCATCACCGACTCTATGCACATGGGTTTGGGTGGACTCCGGGAGCTGGTGATGGACAGGGAAGCCTGGCGTGCTGCGGTTCATGAGGTCGCAAAGAGTTGGACACAACTAAGCGGCTGAACTGAACTGAACTTACAAGACAAACAGGGGACAAAGGAAAAAGTAAAATACCATGAGGAGGCACTCGGGTAAATCCAGATAACGGAACATTTTATAGGACAAAGACCTGGTTTCTCCAACAAAGTGATAGCATTTAAAAAAGAGAGAGTCATATTTGGATATATTTGCAATATTTGGATACTGTTGGATCCTGGTTTGAAAAATCTAACTTTAAAGGGGGATTTTTTAGATTATTGAGGAAATCTAAAAGTGGACTAAGCATCAGATGACATTAAGGAATTTCACATTATTCTGTTTGGTATAATTGCATGGTGGTTATAAAAAAACAAAATTCTTCTCAGTTAGAGATGCATAGTGAAACACTTTTAGGGAAATGACATGATATCTGTGGTTTGCTTTAAAACTCAGAAAAAAATTTGTTAGGAGGAGAGGAAAAACGAGAAAAAAAAATCAGTAAAATGATAATTACTGAAGCTGAATGATGGATACATAAGATGTCATTTTACTGTTCTCCCTACTTTTGGTATGGTTGAAAATTTCCACTATGAAGAAAAATTAGGGGGTACTTCCCCCACGGATTATGGGATTATGAAGCTGTAGTTCTTGGGCAGGTCTGTGGTAAAGACTCCGCCTGCCAAGGCAGGAGACACAAGTTTGATCCCTGGGTCAGGAAGATTCCCTGGAGAAGAACACGGCAAGCCACTCCAGTATTCTTGCCTGGGAAATTCCATGGACAAAAGGAGCCTGGCGGGACACAGTCCTCAGCGGGGCGCAGAAGAGTCAGACCAGGCTCAGCGACTAGAAAATGCCTGAAGCTTCTGTGTGTTCAAGAACTCTGTATCTCCAGTACGTCTGCAGTATCATCCCACAACTAGGCTAACTGCATGGACTGACAGTCACATCAGTTCATTTAAAGAAATTTTTTAAAAAATCAGACTAACTTTGAAAACAAATGTGTCTCACTTTTGCCAGGCGGTCAATGTCCCCTGGAGGTCACCAGTACGCTTCACAAGGAATGTGTGCAAGGCTGACGAAAATTACATCTCAAAAACACAATTAAAACATTGTAAAAGCAGGCCAATGTTTTCTGATCCTAAGAACACAGACTTGATTCTTTATGCCTTTTGTTTGAGATGATGATATGAGCAACCATCTCTAAGACCAATTTCTGTTACTGTCTTCTCAATTACAACAATAAATAACTGCCACCCCAACCTGTGCTCAGAACAGGGCAGACCCAAAGCAAAAGTTTCCACATCAATCCACATGAACAGAATCACTGTCCAGTGATATAAAACAAATAATATATAATAACCAATAATATATGTGACACAGTTATAATTTTAATAACCCATAAAATACTCAATATAGAAATTTTTCCCATAAAATACTCAATATAGAAATTTTTCCCATCAGTTCTTCCAAGAAATACTGTTTTTCAGTCACTAGTTCATGTCTGACTCTTTGCAACCCTATGGACTGCAGCACACCAGACTTCCCTGTCCTTCACTCTCTCACAGAGTTTGCTCAAACTCATGTCCACTGAGTCAGGGATGCCATCCAACCATCTCATCCTCTGTGGTCCCCTTCTCCTCCTGCCCTCAGTCTTTCCCAGGATCAGGATCTTTTCCAATGAGTTGTCTCTTTGCATCAGATGGCCAAAGTATTAGAGCTTCAGCTTCAACATCAGCCCTTCCAATGAATATTCAGAATTGACTTCCTTTTGGATTGACTGGTTTAATCTCCTTGCAGTCCAAGGGACTCTCAAGAGTTTTCTCCAGCACCACAGTTCAAAAGCATCAATTCTTCAGTGCTCAGCTTTCTTTATAGTCCAACTCTCACATCCATACATGACCACTGGAAAAACCATAGCTTTGATTAGACAGACCTTTGTTGGCAAAGTAATGTCTCTGCTTTTTAATATGCTGTTTAGGTGGGTCATAACTTTTCTTCCAAGGAGCAAGTGTCTTTTAATTTCATGGCTGCAGTCACCATCTGCAGTGATTTTGGAGCCCCAAAAATAAAGTCTGCGACTGTTTCCCCATCTATTTGCCATGAAGTGATGGGACCCGATGCCATAATCTTAGTTTTCTGAATGTTGAGGATGAAGCCAACTTTATCACTCTCCTCTTTCACTTTCATCAAGAGGCCCTTTAGCTCCTCTTCATTTTCTGCCATTAGAGCAGTATCATCTGCATATCTGAGGTTGTTGATATTTCTCCGAGCAATCTTGATTCCAGCTTGTGATTCACTCAGCCCAGCACTTCTCATGATGCACTCTGCATATAAGTTAAATAAGCAGGGTGACAATACACAGCCTTGACGCACTCCTTTTCCTATTTTGAACCAGTCTGTTGTTCCCTGTCCAGTTCTAATGTTGCTTCTTGACCTGCACACAAGTTTCTCAGCAGGCAGGTCAGGTAGTCTGGTGTTCCCATCTCTAAGAATTTTCCAGAGTTTGCTGTGATTCACATAGTCAAAGGTTTTAATATAGTCAATGAAGCAGAAATAGATATTTTTCTGGAATTCCCTTGCTTTTCCTATGATCCAAAGGATTTTGCAATTTGATCTCTGGTTCTTCTGCCTTTTCTAAATACAGCTTGAACAACTAGGTTGAAAGATTTTGAGCAGTTTTACCTTGTGAGCGTGTAAAAGTACTGCAACTGTACAGTAGTTTGAGCATTCTTTGGCACTGCCTTTCTTTGGGATTGGAATGAAAACTGACCTTTCCAATCCTGTGGCCACTGCCAAGTTTCCTAAATTTGCTGGCATACTGAGTGCAGCACTTTAACAGCATCATCTTTTAGGATTTTAAATGGTTCAGCTGGAATTCCATCACCTGCATTAGCCAGTTCGTAGTAATGCTTCCTAAGGACCCTCCAACAATACAATTGGTCAATTTATCAATTTGAGAGTATTAATGTTTCTGAAATCATGACACCTGATGCCAGACATTAAGTCTTCTTGAATTCTTCAAGTACATTTAGCATTTACCCCTATAATGGTTTATCTCAAATGAAAAACATTTTTAATTGTTCCAATAAATGTTCAATATGTTCAAATGTTCAATGCTACTTCAGGCTGTGTATCTTCTACCTGTATCCTAAATATATGTATACCAGTTACATATATTCATGTGAACGTGTAAATAAACACATATACACATCATAATACTATGTCATATAGTCCCATACTATTGTTCTTCTATTAGATAAGCCACATACTGTATCATATAAATTATCTGCTTCCATCAGATATGTAAGCTATTTCCAGGGTTTTCTTATTATAAAGGAAGATATGATAAAATTTCTTTCACCTAAATCTTTATGTGCATCTATGACTACTTCCTTTAAATAAATTGTTAGATATGCCCTTGATGAGTCAAAGTATATGAACACTTTTAAGGATCTTTAGAAATCACCAAAATGGCCCTCCAGAGAGGCTATATCAATTAACACCTTAATTAACAATGTATGAGTACATCCATTTTATCCAATCCTTGACATTATGATTTTTTAAACATTTGTGAATTTGATGGCGGAAGGTAACAACAATGTATTTCAATTTGTGTGTCTTGTTAACAAGGGAGAGTGACACTTTTTTCATGTTTCTTGGCTATCTGTACTGCATTTTCATTGTTTTCCATATTTTTCTATGGATGAAGGCCTCTTTGGCCTGAAGAATTATAGAACCTTTTCATAAGAATATTCATTTTTTTATCTTATCATATATGCCTCAAATATTGCTCTCAACTTGTCAAATGGCATTTTGCTTTGTTTTGGTTATTTTATAACACAGGAATTTTTTTCACTTTTACGTGGTCAATCTAGACATCAGTGTTACACGTAATTAAGAGATTTGGACCTTGGTTCAGAAACTGATTACAAACTTGGCTTAAACAGTTTATTAGACACGTGAACAAGGAAAAACTACTTAATTTCTCTGAGACTCAGTTTTCCTATTTGTAAAATAGGGATACAGCCACCTACCACAGGGAGTTGTTATGAGGATTACAATCATTCACTCCTTCATTCATTCATTTATAGTTTCCCACCAAGTCTGCCAGGCAAATAACAAGCATTCATTAATCCCAGTCACTACCACAATCTTATCACGAATAGACAACATTTTAATTTTTAATACCAGTTCTCAATAGACTATTACTTTAATAAACACTTCTTGGCAATTACTTTAAAAAGAAAAAAGAAAATTCCATATCAACCCATTTGGAAAAAGAGAACAGAAACCCAATCACAAAATAAGATATTCAACAGCGACTAAAGTAAAGCCAAACATACCAATAAGTTCAGGTGGGTTTCTTTCATTAAACCGCTCACACAGACGAATAAATGTCTCAGTATTCTCCGTTGTAGGGCACTCGCCATGTCTAGTAATACAGAAACATTTTGTTTTTAAGAAGAGATGACAAATTTCAGCAAAAGGTTTCAATATTAAAGACTCTTAATACATGACTTACCCTTTACACTGAAGTTTTATATATTTGATTCCTTCTTTTTCTATGTCATTTCTGTCATAGAATCTTGAAGTATTTGTCAGGTCTACCAACAAGCCCATTTTAACCTTAGGCAAAAGGAAAGAAGATTTCCTAGTTATTGAATCTGTTCCAAAATAAGTTGACTGAATGGCAATATTCTGGGCCAGTTCATTCATCTACACTGAAGGAGATTTTACGTTCACTCTGTCAACATATTAACAACGAGTGTTTCATTTATCCAAGTCTTATTTGAGACACAGAGCTTAGGCACTGAATGAAATAAATTAACCCCAAACAAATCATGAAACAAGAATATAAGCAAAACAGATTCCACTTCAACATTAAAAAGCCTACCTAAAAAGCAAATACTGATGTAGTTTCCTACATCTGCCACTCCACCTATGATTTATTAGAAGTAGCTAGAACAGGGACAGCACTTATCTGAAATACACCCAAACTCAAGCTCCAGAAGCACCCAAGAATTGATGCTTTTGAACTGCGGTGCTGGAGAAGACTCTTGAGAGTCCCTTGGACTGTAAGGAGATCCAACCAGTCCATCCTAAAGGAAATCAGTCCTGAGTACTCATTGGAAGGACTGATGCTGAAGCTGAAACTCCAATACTTTGGCCACCTGATGCAAAGAGCTGACTCATTTGAAAAGACCCTGATGCTGGGAAAGATTGAAGGCAGGAGGAGAAGAGGACAACAGAGGATAAGATGGTTGGATGGCATCACCAACTCAATGGACATGAGTTTGAGTAAACTCTGGGAGTTGGTGATGGACAGGGAGGCCTGGCATGCTGAGGTCCATGGGGTCACAAAGAGTCGGACACGACTGAGCGACTGAACTGAACTTGAAAGCTGCTTGGCTTTTCCCAGTTCCCTGACAAACCTTATTTTTTATTTGATGGGATAAAGCCTTCACTGGCTGCAGGGTTAAAGCCCTCACAAAAAAATTTTATGTTTCACTGAATATTAAATTCTAGTTCTGCTAATTGAGATCTACGTTGACCAAGACTCACTTCCCAGATAGCTCCTTGCTGTTATGTTTTATTGCTAAAAAGTTTAATTGAATTATCCTAAAGCTTATCTCAGTAATCTGTCTTTGGATGGAGATCAGACACCTCATGAGCTATAACCAAAGGGCATAAAATTCATGTATCTATCAATGAACCATATGCTAACTGGAGCTCATGGCAAAAACGACAAAAGAGTGTCCCTGGGTTTCGGGATTAGGAAATTTCCAGAGGCCAGAAAGAATTACACTAAGAGTAGTCAATTTGCTGAATTATATGCAGTATATGAAGCTCTAAAACAAAGAAAGTTAACAGAATGTCATTCTCACAGAACATTAACATAACAAGACTCCTGGTTGGGAGCCAATGGATTAGCCACCAGTTTGACTTTGTGGGCACACCAAAAATGTGGCAACGTGGGAGAAAAAGCAACATCCAGGTGGGCTCAAAATCTAGGTATTTCCTTTACTATGGATCTCATTAAATATTTTACAATGTCCAATTTACAATATATTGAACACAGACGCTTACCACAGCTAGTCAAAGGACAACTGGCATGTGGCAAGCTGCCTGGGCAAATATGGCAAATTGATTATATTGATCCATTAATCTGAGATGAAGGATGTCAATACGTGGGCACCTTATCGATGGGCATTTGTCTGAGTAAACTCCAGGAGTCTGTGATGGACAGGGAGGCCTGGCGTGCTGCGGTTCATGGGGTCGCAAAGAGTCGGACACGACTGAGCGGCTGACCCGAACTGAGCTGGTTGCTGCTATGGACACCTATTCTGGATGTTTAGTGGCCACTCCCTTCAGGAAAGCCAATCAGACCAATATTATCAAAACAGAGGTGATAATTAATTTATATTATGGTGTTCCACTTCAAATTCAGAGGGACAATGGATCACATTTTAAAGGTAAGTTAATACAAGAGTTTGCCCAGGAATATAATACACAATAGATCTTTCATATTCCTTATTATCCTCAAGCTGCTGGTTGGATTGAAAGAATGAATGGTTTGCTTAAACAGCAGTTAATTAAACTTGGAGAGGGCTCTTATGAAAACTGGAGAACTAACTTTAAATACTCCTCTCAATATTTTAAATAATATACCTATTAGAAAATCAGAAACTCCTTTGATGAGAAAAACTATTCCAAATTTACAGATTCATAAAATAGACTTCTATCCTGAAACAACTGAGTATTGGGAAATTAGCCCAGGAGCACTAGCTCTTTTCCAAGCTACTCCTGAGACTGCCGGAGTGGATTTATACTCTTTATCTGAACAGAGACTTACAAAAATATTGATATGTGCTATTTCAACTGGTATTGGAATCGAAATGCCTCCCAGGCACTTTGGGTTAATTAAGGAATGCTCCAATTAAGCATTAAAAGGAATCTGTGTCCATGCAGGAGTTACAGACCCAGACTACCAAAGAGAAATCCAAATAACTTTACAAAATGAAGCAAAGGATGAAAGGATGATCTATTTATTAATAAACATGATAGAACTGCCGACTCCTGATTTTCCCACATGTGAAGTACAAAATGAGGATAACCTCCCACCTTACTAACAGTTAGAGATGATGGAGGGTTTGGGTACACAAATGAAATACATGCAACCAGAGCTAAAGACTGGGTGAAGCAACCTAATGGTCCTCCTGTGTGTGCTGACGTGGCTGCACAAGAGAAGGGGCACGCCACACTAAGTGATGACCCCCGGGCAGGGACGGCAGCACGTGCTGTTAACCACTGCTGTGCTCATGGACAGACTATGCTTGGAAGCCTGACTGTAACGGGGATTCTCATCCATACCTCCACCTTCAAGGATATGCTACAATTAAAAGAAAAATATGAAGAAAACTATTGGGGAATCTTCAGCTAGAGAAACATAAGCCAGACCTGAACTCAGGATAACTTCACGTGCCCAGCAGACAAGGCCTTTTCTTTCTTAACTCTGACTTTCTGTGTACAAAAGATTATACACGGCACTGGTAAGGATGCAGCTCAAGTCTTAACCATTAACACTAAGTGGATGCTTGCAACACTAAAGCCACGTGAACTTAATGTATGACAAAGACTTCAGCTGCTGTTGTTTAGTCGCTAAGTCATGTCCGACCCCATGGATTGTAGCCTGCCAGGCTCTTCTGTCCATGGGATTTCCCAGGCAAGAATACTGAAGTGTGTTGCCATTTCCTTCCCCAGGGGATCTTTCTGACTCAGCGATCTTCCCCACCCAGGGACTGCCTGCATTGGCAGGCAGATTCTTTACCACTAAGCCACCAGGGAAATTCAACATTTCAGCTACACCGAACTAAACCCTAAACCGACGTGTGATTGGACTGTTTGTTCTAAACAGCTGTTATATTACCTTGCTCAGAAGGATGAGGTCCAAGGAATTTTAGTGTCTGCTAATGCATATGCTAAAGACTCTCTTGATAAGGGTGAAGGAGATGGAAAAAGCCAGCTGAAAACTAAATATTAAAAAACTAAGCTCATGGCATCCAGCCCCATTACTTCATGGCAAACAGAAAGGGAAAAGGTGGAAGCATTGCTTCTAGGTGGGAGCCTGCCAAACACAAAGACGTGAATGCCGTAATACAGCTTCTCACAAGTTAGAGCTAGAACCCTTACCGTCTGTCTCTAGGTCCAAAGTAAGAAGGGAAGGAAAAGTGGGCATGAGCAAGACAATATGAATTCTCTAAATATATATGAATACTTTAGCTAAGAAAACCAAGAAACTGTATTATGTGACTTAGTGCACTGAGTCCATATATATGTACATGTGTAAATGTGTGTCTGTGTGTGTGATATGTCTGTGTGAATAACGTGTTTGTGTTTTTTAATCTATATACACATATACTCACATTATATATACATAATCATTTTTCCTTGTAGATTCCCAATCCATGAAATAAGGATAATAACAGTATCCACCTCATACAGTTGTTTTGAGATTTAAATGAAGTCCTTACTCTGTGCCAAGCACCATTCTATGCTTTACATGCACTAATTTTATCTGCAAATGAGGAAACTGAAACACGAACAGATTATGTAACTTGACCACAAAGCTGTAAGTGGCAAACTAGAATTCAAACCCAGGCTAACTGGCTCCTAAGCTCTTTAAACGCTCTGCCTAGAAATATTTAATGCTCTACAAATGTTAACTATGACTTTCAAAAATGTATATTAATAATGAAGATAAAAACAAAAAGTTTATAAGGAAGCTAAAATAAAAGATACAAAATGAAGACCCAAACTACACCAACAGGGATAAGTAACAGGTTATCAAAAACTACGTGGCATGTTTACTGTCCTGTAACAGGAAACTCGCACGTAATGGGCACCAGCCTTTGCTGAATGTACTACCTGCTGTTCAGTCGCTATGTTGTGTCCGACTCTTTGCAACCCCATGGACTGCAGCACACCTCTCCTTCCCGTCCTTCACCATCTCTCAGAGCTTGCTCAAACTCATGTCCATTGAGTCCATGATGACATCCAACCATCTCATCCTCTGTCGTCCCCTTCTCCTCCTGCCCTCAATCTTTCCCAGCATCAGGGTCTTTTCTGATGAGTCAGCTCTTCTCATCAGGTGGCCAAAATATTGGAGCTTCAGCTTCAGCATCAGTCCTTCCAATGAATATTCAGGATTGATTTTCTTTAGGATTGACTGGCTTAATCTCAAAGCAGTCCAAGGGACTCTCAAGAGTCTTCTCCAGCACCACAGTTCAAAAGCATCAATTCTTCAGCGCTCAGTCTTCTTTATGGTCCAACTCTCACATCCACACAAGACTAATGGCTTTTACTATATGAACCTTTGGTGGCAAACTGATGTCTCTGCTTTTTCGTACACTGTCTAGGTTTGTCGTAACTATTCTTCCAAGGAGCATTCAATAATAGACCACCACTTAAAAGAGTAACAATGGTACGTGTTATGGGTTGCATTATGCCCCCTAAAAACATATTCAAGTCCTAACTCCCAGTACCTATGAATATAACCTTATTTGAAAGAAGGTTATAGGGTCTTTGCAAATATAGTCAAGACAAGGGCACACAGGGGAATTCCCTGGCAATTCAGTGGTTAGGACTCCAAGCTTCCACTACAGGTTCAATCCCTGGTCATGAAACTAAGATCCTGCAAGTCACATGGTGTGGCCGAAAATAATTAATTAAATGAGGTCATACTGGATTAGGGTGTCCTTATTAGTGGGAAATTTGGACGCTGACACACACAAGGAGAGTGTCAAGGAGGCAGAGACAGCTAGAGGAGCCGTAAGCCTAGGAATACTGAGGCCTGCTGGCCATCACTGGCAGCTAGGAGAAAAGAATGGAAGAGATTCTCCTCCAACACTCCAGGAAGAGCCAACCTCTCCAACGCCCTGCTGGGGAATCTCTGGCCGCCAGAACTGACAGAGGTAAGTGTCTGCTGTTTTAAGCCATCCATTTCTGGTAATTTGTCAAAGCAGCCCCACTGCCGGGGTGTTAGCCGCTCAGTCCTGTCTGACTCTCGGCAATCCCATGTCCTGCAGCCCACCAGGTTCCTCTGTCCATGAAATTTTCCAGGCAAGAATACTAGTGTTGCTTGTCATTCCCTTCTCCAGGGGATCTTCCTGACCCAGTGATCAAACCCAGGTCTCCTGAATTGCAGGCAGATTCTTTACCATCTGAGCCACCAGGGAAGCCCAGAAACTAATATAATCAATGTGATGTCAGAATAATAAAAAATTGCAACGTTTCGTTCAGAAAAATAGTTTGGCACTTTTCTTTAAAACTAACCACGTGTTGAACAATCTTAGTCTTGGGTATTTGTTCCAGAAAAATGAAAACTTAACATTCACATAAATACCTGTACATAAACCTTCACAGCAACTTGATTCACAATTCCCCACAACTGGAAACAACTCAAAGTGGCTAAATGGTTACTTAACCATTCAGTGGGAGGAGAATGATTAAACTCTGGCACATCTACACAAGTGAATACTATTCAGCAATAAATATGAGCACAATTTTCATCGATTCATGCAAAAACCTGGAGGACCCCAGCAGCATTATGCTTAGTGAAAAAGTGTATCCCGGGGCCTTCCCTGGTGGCTCAGTGGTAAAGAACCCACCTGCCAAAGCAGGAGACGTGGCTTCGATCCCCCATGCTGCAAGCAACTAGGCCCGTGAGCAACAGCAACTGAGCCTGTGCTCCAGAGCCTAGCAACTGCAACTGCGGAAGCCCACGTGCCTAGCGCGCAGCAAGAGAAGCCACCGCAGGGAGAGGCCTCCAGACCGCCACAGAGAGCAGCCTCCACTCCCTGCAACTAGAGGAGGCTTGAGAGCAGCAAGGAAGACCCAGCACAGCCAAAAACGAATTTAGAACATTTTCTTTAAAGTGTATCCTGAAAGGTCACAAACTGTTTCATTCCATTTATGTAACATTCACAAAATGACAAAACTACAGAGAGAGAGAACAAGTTAGCAGGCCGAACCGCACAGAACTTGACGCACATAAACACAAACGAGTGCTCATAAACACGGGAAACACTAACGTGTGGGTCTACAATCCAGCCAACAATGCTCTGCCAAGGTCAATTTCCTGCTTCTGATATTATACTACAATCACATAAGATGCCACCATTGGGAAAAACTGAGAGAAGGGTTCATAGACTCTATGTACAATTTTTGCAACTTGCTCTGAGTTAATTATTTCAAAGTAAAAAGTTTTATTTTAGAAAGCCACCTGAAAAACAAGAAAGGGATAAAGTATGTTGAATCAGTATCAAAAATGTTTTGCTTCTTACCTTCAGACTCTTCAGATAATTTGAAAGCATACTAGGATGGAATCGATTTTCTTCAGCAACTTGACTGTCATATCTTGGTCCTAACATTGTTTTCAGAGGTAAGAATCTTCCTAAATAACATGAAGGTAATAATTTTCATTAATGAAAATGTTCTGGGTTAAAACTCTATAATTAACAATTCTCAAAATCACCTTCTTACAATATTTTTAATGGAACTGTTCATAAAATACTCTCAACCTATACTATACTTTCAAAGGGCACCACATTGGAACTTTTAAGGACAACATATATTCTAGAAATCAACAATCAAATACAACAGCAAAAGAAATTACCAGTGAACGGAATGTCCAGAAACAATTTAAGTTCTAAACTGCTATATTAAAAAAATAAAATTAAATTTAAAAAAAAAAAAACCACTATATTACACAGTTACTGCCTTAAAACCTTTAAAGATATAGTACTAGAAAACTGATAATGAAATAAATTAAATCAATTCTTTGAAATTCCTATTACGCTTTTTTAACATGAAACTGGAACTTCTGATGCCGAGCAGGGCCCTGTGGGCCTCCTGGGCACGGAAGCCTTTTTGTCCCCATTCCTTGAAGGCAAGACTCATGCCTCTGTGATCAAGATGGGGGTCAGAGGCGGAGCAGCAAGGAAACCACCTGAGGCAAGATGAAGGGAAGCAGAAAGGCTCACCAAGATCAGGAGACCACTGCACACACCCTAATCCCGTCAGCACCCCCACCCTTCTGAAACCTGAAGGAATGAAGACTGTTACTGCCTTGATAATCACCACATACCCCAGTTTGACTATCTAACCTCTCCCTATTCAGGGAAGGGGGACTCAGTTTTTGAGGCACTAGCCTCCTGTGTTCCCCGTTTGCCTGGCAAAGTAATAAAGCCACTCTTTCCTTCTCCATAACTCTGCCTCCGTACTTCTGTTTGGCAGTGGTGCACAGACAGCCAAGATTTTGACAACACGTTCTCCATTTCACAGACCTTATCCTACAGCCCAGAAGAATCAGGGTGAGAAGCATACTAACCAAAATCGCCCACCAAACAACTACCACCGATTCTAATTTCAGCAAAACTAACTTTTGGCCTTTTTTTTTCTGAATCACCGTGTAATAATAGGGGAAGTAATCTTATAAAATCAATTTTAAAATCATCTATTTTAGCTGATTTATATTATAAAATCACTAAGTATAAATATCTACCTAAAATCATATCTAAGTGAAGTCTTAACATGTCTCCAGAGACTTCAACCAAAACGTATAAAAAGATCATTTTTTTCTATTTTTATTTTCCACAGAGTAGGATGTGACTTAGCAACTGAACATTTTCTACAAAACCACTCAAGATCACCAGTAACCTCTATGTTGCTAAGTCCAACGGTCAACTCCCAGTTCTCAAACACTGGCCATGTTTTACCTCAGAGGGAGCTCCTGAATCACTTTCTTCACACGGCCTCCAGGGCACTGCAGCCTCCCACTCTCCTCTCTCCCAGGCCTCTCCTTCCCAGTCTCCCCTACTAGCGCCTCCTCATCTCCCGGGCCCCTCCATGTTTTGTCCCAGGGCTCTGTCTCTGTGCCTCCTTCCTTTCTACACTCACTGCCTTGCTGTCTCATATGGTCTCACAGGTTTAAAAGCCACCAATGCACTAATGACTCACAAATGTGTGACTCTGTGCCGAACATCTCCCTTACCTCTAGAATCAAATATCAAATCACCTGACTTACTAGTCTCTACTTGATGTCTAACAGATGTCTCAGACGTGGTATCCAAATCTGAGTTCTCAATTTTCAAGCTCCTCTTAAGGTCCTCCCCATCTCAGCAAATGTAACATCCTTTTTTTTTAACAGTTTAGGCCAAAAGCTGTGGTGTTATCCTTGATCCATCTCTTTCTTACACATCCCACATCCAATCCAGCAGCAAATCCTATCAGATCTGTATTCAAAATACATCCAGAATCTGACCACTTCTACCATCTCACCCAGATTACTATACTTCATTTAGTTTATTTACTAGATATTTATTAAGTGCCTATTACGAACAAAGCTAGTGGAGGGGATGGAATTCCAGTTGAGCTATTTCAAATCCTGAAAGATGATGCTGTGAAAGTGCTGCACTCAATATGCCAACAAATTTGGAAAACTCAGCAGTGGCCACAGGACTGGAAAAGGTCAGTTTTCATTCCAATCCCAAAGAAAAGCAATGCCAAAGAATGCTCAAACTACCACACAATTGCACTTATCTCACATGCTAGTAAAGTAATGCTCAAAATTCTCCAAGCCAGGCTTCAGCAATACGTGAACCATGAACTTCCAGATGTTCAAGTTGGTTTTAGAAAAGGCAGAGGAACCAGAGATCAAATTGCCAACAGCCACTGGATCATCAAAAAAGCAAGAGAGTTCCAGAAAAAAACATCTATTTCTGTTTTATTGACTATGCCAAAGCCTTTGACTGTGTGGATCACAATAAACTCTGGAAAATTCTGCAAGAGATGGGGATACCAGACCTCCTGACCTGCCTCTTCAGAAACCTGTATGCAGGTCAGGAAGCAACAGTTAGAACCGGACATGGAACAACAGACTGGTTCCAAATAGGAAAAGGAGTACGTCAAGCCTGTATATTGTCACCCTGCTTATTTAACTTATATGCAGAGAACATCATGAGAAATGCTGGGCTGGAAGAAGCACAAGCTGGAATCAAGACTGCCAGGAGAAATATCAATAACCTCAGATATGCAGATGACACCACCCTTATGGCAGAGAGTGAAGAGGAACTAAAAAGCCTCTTGATGAAAGTGAAAGAGGAGAGTGAAAAAGTTGGCTTAAAGCTCAACATTCAGAAAACTAAGATCATGGCATCCGGTCCCATCACTTCATGGGAAATAGCTCGGGAGACAGTGCAGACAGTGTCAGACTTCATTTTTCTGGGCTCCTAAATCACTGCAGATGGTGATTGTAGCCATGAAATTAAAAAGATGCTTACTCCTTGGAAGGAAAGTTATGACCAACCTAGATAGCATATTAAAAAGCAGAGACACTCCTTTGCCAAAAAATGTCCGTCTAGTCAAGGCTATGGTTTTTCCAGTGGTCATGTATGGATGTGAGAGTTGGACTGTGAGGAAAGCTGAGCGCCAAAGAATTGATGCTTTTGAGCTGTGGTGCTGGAGAAGACTCTTGAGAGTCCCTTGGACTGCAAGGAGATCCAACCAGTCCATCCTAAAGGAGGTCAGTCCTGGATGTTCATTGGAAGGACTGATGCTGAAGCTGAAACTCCAATACTTTGGCCACCTGATGCGAAGAGCTGACTCATTGGAAAAGACCCTGATACTGGGAGGGATTGGGGGCAGGAGGAAAAGGGGATGACAGAGGATAAGATGGTTGGATGGCATCACCAACTCGATGGACATAGGTTTGGGTGGACTCCAGGAGTTGGTGATGGACAGGGAGGCCTGGTGTGCTGCGATTCATGGGGTCGCAAAGAGTCGGACACGACTGAGCGACTGAACTGAACTGATGTAACAGGCATTATTCTAGATGCATGGAACATACTAGTTAAAAGAACTAAAAAAAGAGATAAAAAATCCCTGCCCTCATGAAGCCTAATTTCTATTGTGTAAACCACAAACAAGAAGTTTCCCCCCACTAAACCTCTCTTCTCATTCTCATCTGAGATCTCATCCTATTCCCTCTACAAACCCTTAATCTCCTCCCCTGCTGCTCAGTCACACTCTCCGGAGAAAAACCCAGACCTAGAGCAACCCAACCACCTGATTTCTTTGGGCCTACTCCTATGCAGCTCAACTCCTAGAGAAAATCTCAGATGAGTGACAATATAAATTACAATCACCAATTTCAAAGGCAATCTTCTGTTTCACATCTTTTCCTCACTTTTAAAATATACCAAGCTCCTCTACTCCTTTTACAACTAATGGCTTCATGTTATACATTACTGAAAAGAAAAAGCAAAAAGAAACTTATGTTTAACACATACCAGACACTGTTTAAAACACTTGACATAGATTTACTAATTGACTCCTAACACCTGATGGACAGGGAGGCCTGGCGTGCTGCAGTCCATGGGGTCGCAAAGAGTCGGACACAACTGAGCTGAACATAAACATACGTAATGTTATTGTCCCCATTTTACAGATGAGCAAATCAAGGCAAGAGAGATTAAATAAATTGAAAGCTGTCACACTTCTAGTAAATGAGAGAACAGTGATTCAAACCTAGGTGATCTGGACCTGGGGTCCACAAATATAACTGCTATTCAACAGAACCTCTTCACCACTGGGAGGAAACTTGCCTCACCTTTATAGTTATAAACCTTTCTGGCCATTTTCTCTTTCATCCTCTGTCTTTCCTCACTACAAAGGCAAATCCTGTCCCTACTGCTCTGGATTCCTTTCCATTTTGCCTTCACAAGAACATCAACCTTTCCTCCCTTCCATGCGGTTACCAACTTCTCTAATATGTTACGTCTTAGCAGTATCTCATACATCTGACTCTTCCTTCCTTCTTGAAAAATTCTCTTGGCTTCCATAACACTAGACTCGTTTAGTTTGATGAGTTGTTTGTCAGAGAAACTAGCATTACTTATCCTAACTAATCAAATACTATGCTTTTAAATACTGTCTTTACACTAGTGATCCTTAAATGTGCATCTACAACTCGAACTTGTTTGAATTCCAAACGATATATCCAGCTGTGTACTCAACATCTCTACCTGTGCAATCAGGATCTTAATACCTCTTCCAACCTACCTTCCACTCCCTCCCCCCAACAAGCCCTAATGGTACCATCATCCCATGGCATAAGCAGAAACCTAGGACTAAGTTTTGACTTTCTTTCTCTTATTCTAAATCCAACAATCCACGTCCCGTCTATTTTCCCTCTTTGTTGTTGTTAAGTGGCACATCGTGTCCTACTCTTCTGTGATCCCATGGATTGGGACCTTCCAAGCAAGAAGACTGGGAAGGGACCCCATTTCCCTTCTCCAGGGGATCTTCCCAACCCAGGGATCAAAGCCTCGTCTCCTACATTGCAGGTGCATCCTTCTACTGCTGAGCAACCAGGGAAGTTCATTTTCCCCTTAA